TATTTGGAGATACCAAATATCTTAAGATACAGGTATCTTACAGATTTTTAAATGAAAGTTTGGATATGAAAAGATAGCTCTGCTGTACTTTAAAGTATTTCAAAAACAATCTAAAGATACCTGGAATATTTCTACCTAATTCTTTATTTACTATGTATATTTATTATTTAATTTAATATTTATAATGTTTTTTTTTCAGTGTTTTTGGTATTTATGTGAGTGGCGGTACGTTTGTGTTTGCGGCAGTGATCTTTGCATGTTTGAAAAACATTTTAGCATGCAGGGCGTGGCAAGTGCGTGGCGGACAGGACAGCTCGCCATTCCAACAGACAGACAGAACTAGGAACATATAGCATATATAGCATATATAGCATGTCGAACATATATACATATACATATATCTTATAGGGGAGACGTGAGAGAGACGAACTCACCGTTGGCTAGACAGACAGACGGCGGTGGGTTCGAAAATTGCAAATTGAAATGTTACCGTTAAGCACGTATTAGGACCATGGCCGGGGCATGGGTGTGTGTTTATGTATTTGCAGCGATAAATCGATGCGATGCGATGTATAGATTTTACCGGGATCCACATCCACTTCCACTCTGGGCCAAAAGCAGAATCAGTCCCCATAAACGTTAATGAGCCGCAGCACGGCAGCGTTTTCAGATATGTGTACACAGTAACAAATGATGTTATCAAATCATATTGAGAGATGTTCATAATATTCAATGGAATGGAATTGTTCAAGCTACAGATACAGATAGATACAGGATAATGGCTCATTAAGCAGTATAGAATAACATATAATCCAGGAGTAATAAATACTACTTTAATATGCAATTTCAAGCACAAATCATTATTCAATTTTTACTGTGCAGTAGTTACAGTTACTACCCCCCAAAAATCAATCACCCGAGGTGGGGCAAGGTCAACTCTAGTCAAGGAACTTACTCCGCCGTCATAAACACACCGCCATAGATTCTGTAATTCATTGGAACGTGTGATTCCCATGCTAATTGATGGCATGTTTATGGATTGGTTGTCCTCCTACAAGGCGGGAATCTTGTAAGCGAATGTTCCCCCATTGATATGCAAATTTTAATGGCCAAATAATCGCATGTATCTGGCTTGTAACAGCCTAATAAATTGATTAAATTCTTTGGCTTTTATTAGGAAGTTGTCATTAAGTCATCAGTGCGATGCTGCCATTAATTGCTGCCTTCGACAAGCAACCAAAAAAATCCGAAAAAAGCCATGAGAACAACAAAAACAAAGACCACATTTGGCATATTACACTCTCGTATGTAAATTAGCCAGAAAGCCAAAGTCGCAGACACTCCTCCAAGCGATTGGTATAATAAATGTTGGAGTCGCTCGAAACACATGTAAGGCATGTGGAAATGGGATTTTAAACGCTCGAGCCCAAGTGGCTTCTGCCGCTTCTGGCCCCTGGCTCCGGCTCCGGTTTTGCATACCCGAGATACGGATACGGATACCCCTGCCCGACCCAAGGCAAGGAGTATCTGATGATGGGGACTGAGACCCATGACGAATGCCCGGCAAATGCAAATGCGAATGCTATACACAATGGACTTCAGTTTCCTAGGAATCGCCTTCAGAGTATCGCTTGCAGTTGTTCTATTCCAGCACGCGATCCATTACCGCAGGAGATGTATCTGTGTATCCCATGTATCCATGTATCTATGTATCTTGCGGTGCGATGCGGTGCGGTTTGTTTACGTCGCTATTTTTACATTGCATCCCGCATAACTTCTTTCAATTCCAAACATTCCGTGTATTTCTTCTTAATTTGCTCGTTGCTCTTCTTTTTATTGAACAGCATCACCGCGCCCGAAAATCAGGGAATATTTATTGTCGATATGACCACACCTATTTTATGGGGCTAGCTCCCGTTTCCCGATATCTGGTCGGTGCCAAAAATAGCCGCAAATCCCTGGTGCTAAGTCCAAAATAAAAGAAAGAAGCCAGTCCGTTTTGCTGGGGAAGTGGGGAATGTGACTGCGGCTGGATAGGTATTTGTGCAGAGAAAGAATATGATTTGAATTTTACTACAAATTAATTCCAGGATTACAAATTAAATTTCTTTAAAATTGTATAAATATTCATTAGAAAAAGGAATAAATATTAATAATAAAACTATGAAAAGGTTTCATGGCTACTAGATATTAAACATTCAATCTCGTAATAAAACCTTTTAACCTCATCTTTAATATCTGTAAAAATGAATCAGTTTATGAGCTTAATTTGAAGACACATTTTTATATATTTAGTACCTATTAATTCTCCCAGTGCATCTCATGAGGTAGCTGGGAGTGGGCGGTGGTGGGTGTCCGTCTGGTACTGCAGACCTGAGTGCACTGCCATCTCACTTGAGAATTCTCACACCTCGTGGCGGCTGTCAGTTTGGGTTTTTCGGGAGTTTCTCTGGAGTTTTTCAGACTGATTCCGGGAGACAGTTTAGGCGCATCCACGTGCGCCAGGCTTTTGATCTGTTTAGCATTCCATGGCACATCGGAAAGTCGTAACTATTGACAAGATCTGGAGCGGCAACAAAACGGGAATGAAATTGCCAGAGGCGAATGCATTTCGATTCGTTTCGTTTCGGGCGGCACTCGTGTATTTGTTTGCATTAATTTGTATATGTTACTTTAACGATTTAATGCCCAGCATGGCACCGACCCGACGCAGATTCCGGGGAATGGATACGGGAACGGGAATGGGTCTATAGGAGGAGTCGGAGTAGGAGCTGGCACCCAATGGAGTTCGATCCCCCATTCCCAGGTGATTGCACTCGTTGTGGGGATTTTTCCCCCATTACCCGGACTGGCCTTTCTGGCTTTCCTTGGTACTTCCTTTCCATATCAAATTGTGTGGATATTGCGCATCAATCACTTGATAAAGAACAACAGCGGCGCACTCGTATGATGAATAACATCTGCCCCGATCCGGATCCGAATCATCCGAATTAAGGCGCAATGTTCCGCCGCAAATATATAAATATATACATATAACATATTGTTCGTATGTGTGCTTTGTACTGTGGGGTTTTATGGAAATCCACTTGAAAAGCCACACCGACTTATGGACTTGTTCCGTCAAAGAATAAACACATTGATTGATAAGTGAATAATTCAGGCGAGCAAATATTGTTCGATTTAATTAATTTCCCATTTCCCGGGCTAGAGGAATATTATTCAACGCGCAGACCTCATTTTTCCACATCGGCAAAAAATATTTGGTTTGGCCTTAAATCGAAAAATCTCTGAATGTCTAAATAAAGTTTGAATTTGGTTCAAAAGGAACTTTAAATAAATGGTTCCAAATAACACTATATCTTGTAAAGGCTTTTAATGTATTTCTCTATGATTTATATAGATTTCTGGTAAAGATTTAAAATATATTTTGTCTATATATAAACTCTTTTAATGTTTTCGATTATACGAAAAATAAAACCAACGATGAATCAATGAGTTATAATTGTTGATCTTAAAGTGCTATCATTTCGTATATAAATAAAAGTTAATGGTGAATAAGCATTGTTCTTTTTTGTTTTCTTTGCATAATTTTGTATAGGTCAACAGAGTGCTTAATAAGTTGGCCAAAAACCTGATTTTCAACGAATTAACATATATGTATGTGCGAGGTATTCTGAAGTAATATTATAATTATACCTGTCGGATTCTTCTTTTATATGATTTTTATACCCTGGCGCGGTATTAAAATATTGGTCAATTCGGTGAAGGAGTCATTTCCGACCCTATAAATCATATATATTATTGATCAGCATCGACAGCCCAATTGATCTAGACATGTCTGGTTAAAAACAAATTTTTCGAAATTTTTTCAAAAATTCAAAATTTTATAAGGGGTTACATCGTTAAAATTGTTGAAATTTGACAAAAAATTGAATTTTTCAAATCTTTACATTTAGTATGTAGATTTGTTAACCTTATAAAAACTAACCAAGGAACGCTTTCTGAATTAAAATAAAAGCTTTTTTGTGTTAGTTATGAGTTTTTTAAACTTCAATTTTTAAAATTTTCAAAAATTGACTAAAAAGGTAATATTTTAAATTTGAAAACTCAGTATGCAGATTTGTAAACCTTTTAAAAACTGGTACAGAAAAGCTTTCCGAATTGAAATTTACAACTTTTTAGCTTAGTTATAAAACTTGAAAATCTTTGATTTTGTCCCAAAAAGTAAACATATAAAAATATCGATCTAATATTCGTAAAATGCACATAATAATATATTCTCTTAAGGAAATTCTTATCTCCCATTAATATAGAAAATATTACCATAAGGTCCTTGCCAAAGGCTTGTTCATGAGTTTGGTAATAAGAGCTTACAGAATTTTTTAAGTACACTCCCTGAAACACAAATGTATCCAGCTCAACTTAAATACAATTTTTCTTAAATAATTAACCACTCACTGTCAGCGAGTTCTTGGCCAATGTAAATGCCACCTTTAAGATTCTTTTGGCAAAAGCAATTATTCATCTGTTAAGCGGCAAATGTATCTGTATCGGCCGAGCGATATGTACGCGGCATAGGACATGGTGTAATCGTGTCTAGCTCTAATTACTTTTACAGCGACAACTTTTATCGCCCATCGCAGCGAATATCTGCCGTTTGAGGGGCAATCTTCACGCATAAATAAGCGCAGAGTTTAGTGGCAAAAGAAGGGGGGAAAGACGGAAAGTGGGAAGCGGGAAACGGCGAAATTTGTCAATCGAAATTTTCCCGCAGCGAGGATGAGGTGTAGTTTGTCCAAACATACGATATACTGTTAACATTGGGTCCCACCTCGAATATCGTATGCCAAGTTTCGTGTTCGCCGCTCTCTTTGGCGTTGCTCTTGCGTTCGTTTTCGAACTCGCTCAGTTCATCGTTTTCGAACTCGCTGCGATTCGAAGTGAAATCAAAGCATCTACGAACGCGCTGACGACGAACGTATCCAGTAGATACGCGAACTCATAACGGTACACATGTTGCTATCGGAAAACGCGAGCGGCCCAAGTGGAAATGTAGCCCAATCCGTTCGCTTCAGGCTTTCCATTTAAAGCGCTCCTCTCGCACACGCACATACACACACATATACACACATACGCACACCCGTAAGTCCGCACACACACACACACACCCACAAGGGTTCTCGGCTCTCGTACTCGAGCACGCACCACTACGGACGCAAGTGCACGGTGCTCGTGTATCCCAGTGTATCTCAGTGTGAGTATCTGAGCCGAGCGGCAGCGCGCTGAGGCGCTGAGGTGTTTGCCATTGTGTTCAGATACAGGATTTAGTGGCCAAGTGCTTAATAAAAGCATCGTAAAGGCACGGGCGTCCGGCCGCAGGCCCATCGATATCGATAGCAAAGTGATAAATGCAAATTATCTTTAATCAAAACGTCAGTCCAACCAAATGTTAAAAAGTGTGCCGTGAATGTCTGCCATAAGAAGCCGGCAGGAAGCTCGCAAAATTCTCATGGAAACTCAACACACAAAAATTAACTGAAAACGAATATATCAAAGAAACAGCACATAAATAACCAAAGTATAATGAAATCGTGTTTAGCTAAACTGTGCCTCAGTGTTATTGTTATTGCCTCCCAAAAAGAGTGATCAAAGCCATTTAAATACGTTTAAAGCGAATTAAAACGTTAAAATACAATTGTCTGACAAGCTAAGAAACCAATAAAATGATTGAATAATTCTACGAAATTGTTTATAGGTTACCAGAAATGATAAAAGATATAAAATGATACAAAATAGCTTATAAATAACATAAATATCTAAGCAATTGCATTGTTAGAATAATAACCATATACAAATTACAAACTTTATTGAAATCCCTAGTTAATTTAAGAACATAATAGCCAAATGATTAAAAACTAATTACAAGCAATTATTTATCTTTTTTTTATAATTACACAAGAAATTCAATTATATTTTTGTGCTTTTTAAAGTTTCTGTTAAATAACTTTCTGACTTGAATTTTCCACAAAAGATTTCCTCAAACCTCAATGCAAAACACTCAAAAAGAATCTTTACAAATTGTGTATAAATAAAACCGCAATGCAATTGCCATGACTGACATTCAAACAAGAATAATTAAACAAAAACAAATAAATAAAAGTAGTAAAAGCGCTTAAAGTGCACAAGCTTGAAGCCTCGAGGATTACCCCAAAAAAATATGTATTTAAAAAGAATCGTATGAAAATGCAGAGTGAGACTGAAATAGCAACAAACGTTGCCGTGGCTGACTTTGAAAATCGGCTCCATGCCACTCCACTCCACTCCAGTTGCCAGCCACTCCAGTGGCTCTCCACTTGGTGGAACGGAAGGGTATGGAGGAGCAGTAGCGGGAACAGGGAGCAGGAGTAGGAGCAGGAGCAGGAGCAGGAGGACTCGCCGCTTGCTGCTCGGTTTGCGGTGCCGTGCCTCGAGCTCGTCGATAATTGGATTTTACGACTGTGGCATAAAAAAGGAACCGGCAGAATACTGGCTGCAAGGATATGGCGGCCTCCGTTCGTCTCTGTTGTTTGGTGACTCGTGTCGGAGTCCCATCCTAAGTCCCGAATCCACTCCTTGCTCCCTGAACAGCCCTCCGATAGTCGGGTGCCGTGGAAATATATATTTTTTTTGCTTGGTCGTCGTCGTTGCTCCGTGTGCGGTTCAATTGGCCCTGTCAGTGGCAGGCGCGCTGATTTGTTATGGTAATAGTTGTCACAACGAGAGGAGACTCGAGAGATCCTCACTAGTCGACACTTGATTACACTTTGGCCACAATAGTGGGGCATAGTGCCATCATTGGTGAAATAAAGTCAAAATTAAATCCGACAGTAAATCAGAACCAATTAGGCGGGCAAATCGGTTTGCAAGTTTTTTAAATGTGTCTCTTCCGGTTACCTCGCAGATTCATCTCAGATGGCAGACGGCGTGTCTGCTCATTAAAAGAAACTCGCCAGAAACTGGCCCAGAACAGATCCAAGTTGGAGTTCCAGGCAAACCAAGTTAAACAAAGCAAACGCCTAACCGATGGCCAATAAAAACAACATGGAATATTGAATGAAATCGGCCGGCATATATGCACATGCATTAGCAGGTGAGTTATCTCCGCTGGCTGCTTATTTCCCTCAAAATTTATGCTCGTGCATATCTGCATAATCGCAAATTAAGCTACATAATTAATAAGCCAGGAGCCCGGGACCGAATCCGAGTCCGAGCCCCATCTCAAGTTCGAGACTCGTCGCTGTCACTTGGCGTTGATGTAGCACTTTGGGGAGCTATCAACTGCCTTTTGCCGGGCTCAGCTCGGCCTTTTACCAGATTTTACCTTTGCTTTCGGCTTCTGGCCATCTTTTTACACACAGTTATCGGGTATATTTATATATATACACTCAAGGTATACCCTGTTCCGTGTGTATCTGTGTACGTGCCACTGCTTTCCGAAAAGTATCGATGTCTGTAATCTTAATTAGCAACACCACAGCAACCGGCAAACAGAGACAACGTCGGTTGGCCAGCACAGCGGCTCGGGCCCACAAACATCTTTTAGCATTTCAAGCGCGACGTATCCGTTTTTCTTTGCACTTTAAAAAATCTAGTCCTTACAAATTTGGGAATATATTTTTAGTAGAAAGTGGGTGTTTTTTGGTTTAAAATTTTGAGAAACTTTGCCAGGAGATTGCCAGGGTTTCTGAGAAAAACGTTTATATGCTTATTTGTTTATTAAAGCTTTGGTATGTTGGAAGTAAGTCCACGTTTAAATATTAGCATAGGTCATAGATTCTCTTCAATATTTTTATTACCAATAACTTAATAAATCTCATTTTTAAATAACAATGTAAATTAGAGGAACAATACTAAAATCAAATCAATGAAAGGCTGAGTTTGGAAAAGGATGGGTTTCTAATTAAATCCCAGTTTGTGTTTTGCTAGGAATAATTCTTTAGCAAGTTTATAATACAATATATATTTAATAAATGTATGAAAATACCGATTAAAAGGAACTATGTGAACTATGCTTTAATTTTATTTGATAAACTATTTATGGTAAAAGCACAATCATCTCAGTACATTTACAAACCAAATTAAATCTTTAATAATTAAAAAACTTAATTTCCAGAAAAGAAAAGCCATCTCCTTTGTATATTTTTCCAAGTGTGTTGCTGTTTTTCTGGGTGTTTCTCACAAAAAATCACATTACATCGAATGCCGAAACCGGTTTCGGTTGATTTCTTGTCATATTTCGTGTAGAAGCCAAAGGTGTTTTGTACAAATGGCCAGCAAACTAAACAAACTAAACTTGCCGGCCAGCTAGCAACCGGCTGCCCATCAAAGAGTTATTTATACTTATTAATGCCAACGATGAGTGCGAGGGGCTTGAGCCACCCCGGTGCCCCCTTTGGCATGAAGCGACGTCCCTGGTCATACATACACTCACTATAGTTCGATGGGGGATATGCAAATGCAAATATCTTTGATCTGCTTTCAGGCTGAAAAATTCGCACCTCCATGTGCGAACAAAGCGCCCATGGGGAATGTGTTTTGGGAGGAGTGCATAGGAAATCAAGTTTACGACTTCTCCGGAGGAAGGAGGATGGGGTTCCTGGACCTCTTGTCCACAGGAAGGGGGGAGACTACTCACTTTAATTGCGTCCATTAGAAAACGCTTAGCGTCTTTGAGTGGCATCAGCCGCAGCCAGCGAACGGAAATTGAAATTACAGGTGTAAACGTATAAATTCCTGTTTACGCCGATGTCCGAGGCTTAGTTGGCCTTTTAAATTTTATACTTTAATGCGACACCTTCAATCAAACAATCGGAAAAACGCTTTGTTGGCTTTTCAGTCGGTTTTATTTTTTTGTCCGGCATGGAAATATTATTTCATTATTTGTAACGTAAAATCGAAATAAATAATTAATAAATCAACGCATCTATTGTTTATTCTATGCGGCAATAAAAACAGATAAAAGCTAATGAATTTTAAGCAGTGAGGAATTCAAGTTCACTCAGATAACCGGTTCTGTCTTTAGTTTTTTTTTGTTATTTTTCTCTGTGGGGTCAGTTTGTCAGCATTCAAAATATTTGGCTGGTAATAACCAAAAGTGGCTAACAAAGGGAATGGAGAGCCCCACAAAGGGCCTACAGATACCCTTGGAAGTCCATCAAAATCAAAATTTAGGTAGGTAGTTGGGTGATTTAAAAGATACATTTAATTAGCAAAGCAGCTGATTGATATGGCAGCATTTTAATTTCATATTGAATGTTATCTAAAATGAAGAAGAGTTGTAAGACTTGTGCTTGTTTTTCAATCCACCAAAAATATACAAAAACTGGCTTAGAAAATAAATGATGGATGAGATAGAATATTATTTCAATTTTGAATGTTATCTAAATTACTTAAAGAGCTATTGAAAGCATCATACCCTTATTGATCAGGGTATGATGATGCCCTTTTGTAAACCTATCCCTTGCTATACTCTTTAGTCTGTTTTCTATCTCGAGTCTCTGGGCCAAGTGTTTGGCTATCACATTCATAGGCAAATTGTGCGCATATTTATGAGCAGCTCTTTTCCGCGACGGGGGAAATGGAATATCGTAATAATTAATTAAGTTATAACATTAAATGGCCATAAAGGGGCATTAGGCCCATAACTTTGAGTGGACATATGAGCATGAGCCACGGCTGGAATCTCAGAAATTCGTTACTGCCATACCCATAACTCTTTCCCCTTTTGTTATCGACGGATGGGATCTAAGCTGGCCATATGCCTGGCCTTTTGACCATCATCATCATCATCTTTTACGACTGTGACTACGACTGGCCAATCACTACCATACTTTCTTGTCCAAAATCCGTCCACAACTTACTCAGCTTTTCTCGCCCTGTCAGTTTTGATTTTCAGTTTTTGGCCATGTGCCAAAACAAATGACTTCACATTTTTAAAGATATTACGTTGACAAAACCCTCCGCAAATTGAGTGAGTCGACCGCAAATGCGTCATGAATTCCAACCTGGTCGAGAGCCGAGAGTCATGAATACCTCTAGGAGTTGGCAGATGCAGCGATGATTACCGGCGAATAAAACTATTAGTTACACTGAAGCGACTTTGCTAAAAGACTCTCTGCCTGACTCTATAAAAATCATGAAAATGTGTGGGACGTGTTGATCCCGGAACGCATTGTTCTCTTAAATACTTTTGATTTATTAGCGAAATGAATGGCACTGACAGCGGTTATTAATTGTGGCCAGATAGACAATGGACACGTTTACCAAAAATACAAAAAGAAATCAACAGTATTTAAATTTATTCCCTTGTAGCTGACCATCAATTGGTTCCACCTATTAAAGCCTTTTACAGATATGGCAAACGAGCTTGAAGAGCCCTGAAGTATGCTTCGTAAGGTGCTTTCATTGCAAATTGAGTATTCGAAATGCGGGCTTATTAATGCTTAGATTCATATCTTGATTGCTTTCCTCAGAACTACATTCCCAGTGTCTCGAGCTCAAAAACCTGAAGCTCTTATCTTTCTAGTCAAGAAATATGGCCATCATTCACATAAGCCATCTACATTTATGAGCCTTTTTAAATTTTAAAAGCTCTCTCTTTCTCTCGATTAGTTGGCATACGTAGTTTTCTGAAATTGGGCAAAACGAAATTCCCTTCAATGTGAAATATTTGAAATATCTCCTGACTAAACTTTTAAGGCAAACTTAATTGTATTATATATTTGGAAAGCAACTTTACAAATTCATATTCATGCACTTTCTGCCCCCGGTTTGCAAGTTTATTAGATTCATTAGTGACAGGCTGGAATTTACAAATATTTTTGGTAACCAAGCATTTGATATGGCTACAGGAGAGCCAAAAATAAAACTACAAAGGGAAAGGAGAATGTAATTTAAGTATGTTGTAAGCAAGAATTTCTAAAGTAACTTACAATGTTTCATATTTTCTGAACGGACATGAAAGTGCTATACACAGGAGAAAAATATAGTTAATGGGAGTGAAGGATGGCTTTTTGACAACGAAATATGAGAGGAAATATATTCTCAAGAGCTTGAAATTTAGCTTTTATATTTTATAATTATAGAGAACAAAGACTACATAGACAACTTTAAGTTTATTAAGAAGTCTAATACAAGTGTTCATTTAGTTATTTTTTAATACAGATATTGAGAGAGGAAGATGTTGTTGTAAAGTAACTTTCTAATAACTAATTTATTTTTTTGTGCAGATAATCATCTTAGTTTTCCCCTTAAAGTCTGGAGTATGGATGAAAATGGCGTGAGCTATCGATGGCTATGAAAAGGGCCAAAAAGAATAGTCCAATCAAGTGACACTTTTGAATAAAGAGAAAGCGAAAAACATGCATCACGAGGAATCATCATTTCAAGGATTTTTTTGCCATCGGATTGAGAGATTAGATGGGCACGAGCTGGAGCTAGAGCAGGAGCAGGAGGATCGAGGGACTCATACCCCGAGGAGAAGAGCTAAAGCCACATCCCAATCATGGAAATACACCTGTTCCAAAGCGTGGAGACATTTACTCCTGCCGTTGTTAATGCTCACGGGTATTGCCCACACATTGGGCACTTATATTGAACAGGATGAGCTCATGCAGAATTTGGACCGTCCGGTTCCACTGACCACCGTGCAGGGTGTCCTCGGACGCCAGGCGATGCTGCCCTGTGACATCTCGCCGCAGGAGCGGGATGACGCGGTCTACATGGTGCTCTGGTTCCGCGAGGGTGACGGTGAACCCATATACAAGTGAGTAGAGTAACTTTTGTATTTTGTATCGATATTTATTTAATATTTCAACTTATTTAATAAACTATATTTTGTGTTAATTAAATCAAAAATTATAATTTACAGCTTCGATGTCCGTGGCCGACAGTTCGGTCAGGCTCGTCTGTGGTCTTCACCCGCGGCCTTTGGCAGTCGCGCCCATTTCAGCAGCACCACACATCCCGCCCAGTTGAAGATCGACAACATCCGCATCGAGGACGAGGGCGTCTATCGGTGTCGCGTCGACTTCCGGAATTCGCCCACTCGTAACCTAAAGATTAATCTCACCGTCATAGTGCCACCAGACAGGCCGATCATCTACGGTCAGAATAGGCACGAAAAGGCAGGAAATGTGGAGTCCTTTAACGAGGGCAACGACATTGTCCTCACCTGCGAAGTCTCTGGCGGTAAGTTAATATCCTTAAAATAGAAGAATTTTTCGGTTTCCATATTAAATACTTTTTTAGTTTTAACTACAAGTCTAAGGGAAGATATTTTACTTAGAATTAAGTACATGTTTTCTTTATTAAGAGTATTCCAATTTGTTTCGCTCAACATAGTAGTTTACCCTTCAAGCTGAAATCAAATAGACAACCTGTTGAGTGGTTTAATCTTGTTGGTTTAATTTTTAAAAAACAATCATTAAAAGCCTCTCCGAAAAGTTTCAAGGATTCCTGCATTTCAAAGGGGCACACAGGCTTTGTCAATTAAAAGATTACAGAAAAGTTTTTCGTTAACTTTCGAATGCAAGGGTTGCCTTTTCGCTGTTCTAAAGTTGTAAATGCTTAAATTTTAAATTCCGAAGCCCTCTTTTACTGTGTCAGTTAGCATCCACTTTGTTAAGGTCTCCCCCCTGAAATTCGTGTTACATATTTCCAGGCTGAATTATTTATTTTTTGTTATTTATTTATCTGCATTTATGAATTATTTATACCGCCGAAATCCAGGACGTCCGCGACCCAACGTCACGTGGTACTTGGACAACACGGCCATCGACGAATCCTTTGAGCAGCGGGTCGACGGGAAGACTGTGAACCACCTGTCCTACCCCAATGTGGGACGGCAGCACCTCAACTCCCGGCTGATGTGCGTGGCCAGCAACACGAACCTGACGCCGCCCAATAACAAGGTCGTCGTCCTGGATGTCAATTGTGAGCAAAATGATGCCAAGAATGTTCTAGGATTTGCTACTAATTACCTATTATATCCACCAGTGAAACCCATGGCTGTGCACATCCTCACCAAGGATCGATTCGTATCCGCGGATCGCACCTACGATGTGGAGTGCAAGAGCTCTGGATCGAAGCCGCCGGCGCTCATCACCTGGTGGAAGGGCAGCAAACAGCTGAAGAAGCTAACCAAGAATGTAAGTCTGGGCGGAGGGATAAACTTGGCCAGGGGCATGGGAGCTGGCACGGGAACGGGCACGGGCCAAACCAAACTAAACTCATAATAAATGCGCAAAGTCCCGAACTCATTAATTAAATACAAATTAATATTGTGTACTGTGTGCGTCGCTTATAATTGCCACAAATTTCCTTTCCATTTTCGCTTATGTATTTGCCTTGGCCTTGGTCCTTGGTTCCTTGAGTCCTCGACTCCTCGGCTCCTTGGCGCACGGTTCCGTTCTATTTCGTAGCGCTGCGTTACTTTCGACCCGCTTCCGTTTCATTATTCATTTCCTAATGGACTCTGTTTGCGTTTCTTTTTTAGTTTAATGAACCCGATAATCAATCTCTAAGTATCCTGACGTTTACGCCCGGACGCGAGGACGATGGCAAATATTTAACATGTCGGGCAGAAAATCAATTCATCGACGGCAGCGCCATCGAGGACAAATGGCGACTCATTGTCCATTGTAAGGAAATCCCCGTAACCGCTGCCTCAGCGAGAGGGTGAAGCCTAATTGCAAAAAAATCGCTTTTCCTTTCTCGCTTCTCGATTTTCGTTTTCATTTTCGTTCTATATTATTTTTTCTTATATACCATGTGCCCACAGACCAGCCCACCACGACGCTCAAGATTGGCTCCTCGCTGAATCCCGATGACATCAAGGAGGGCGACGATGCGTACTTCGAGTGCATTGTCCTGGCGAACCCGAAGCCGTACAAGATGTCCTGGTTCCATAACGTAAGTCAGTCCGCGACGAAAGGTGTCCCACATACACGGGGAGAAAGTGGCGTCCTTTGATATTTGAATTTAAATTAAAGAGAACTTGGTAAAGTTTTTCCATAGATAAGTTCTTAGATGAGGGATTAATAATAGTTGTATTTACTTCATCGATAGTTTTAATAATCAGTTAATAACTTAAACTCAACTAGTCAAATTCCGAATGATAAAAAGAAGACTTCTACTTACCATTAAGTCTCATATTGCTAGTCTAGAAATACCTACCATATACTAATAAAATCATTATTTCTTTTTGCTCTATGCAGGGCAAGGAGCTGCAGCATAACATCTCCGCGGGCGTTATCCTTTCGGATCAATCCCTGGTCCTCCAGAGCGTCTCACGTGCCTCGGCCGGCGACTACACCTGCCTGGCTGTCAACTCGGAGGGCAAGGGCCCCAGTAATCCGGTCACATTGCGCATACGCTGTAAGTAAATCGCTGCCAAATCCCCATCCAACAGCCCATCCAACAGACCCTTCCCTGCAGCCACGGCCCCTGCCCTGAGCCCAAGCCTCGTCCTCGAAGTCACCAAAGTTTGGCTTTGAACTAACGTCTCTGTAATTTCCAATTTAATCCTTGAGTTTGAATGGCTCTTAATGTATTTAGAGTACGGGGCTCAGTGCTAGGTTCTGGCCCCCAGCCAAGAACAAAGGCGCAGTATATAGGTATATGTGTCCCCTCTCCGGAATCCCATTCCCCCTGCCACCCACGGACTCACGTTAATGACCAAGATTATGGCGCAATGAATGCATTGCCTTGGCACTCTTAGGCACCCCCATCTCCAGCCTTTGTCCCCCGCATCGGACTCCTCTGAATTTGAATCTGAATCCGAATCTGAATCTGACTCGGGCACAAAATGACCAGAAGCTGGGGTCGGACTTAGCTACTATCTCCATGCCCAAAATGTGCCGGAGAAATCCGGAATATGGTATTAATTTAAGCCCGTTTAGGGAGCTTCACTGAAAAAAATACTACTTAATATTAAATAGCAATATTAAATGCTTTTAATAGAGTCTCATATGAAAAATTAGTCTCCGATTAGTGGAATTCCTTTTAACCAAAAGGCAGTGGAGATTAATTTAGTTTTTAATTATTTTTCCCAGTGCATTAGCCCGCACATCCTCCTTATTCGCTCGGTGCAAGCCGTTTAAGAGGGCGTTAAATATTTTAATAAGCGCTCCAATTACTCACTCGCCCTCCGATAGATGCCCCGATCTGTGCTACGGACCATGAGGAGCTCCTGGGCGCCCTTAAGCACGAGACCCTGCCCCTGAAATGTGAAGTGGATGCCTCGCCGCCGGCAGATTCCTTCCATTGGACCTTCAACTCATCCGGTGAGCAAACGGAGCTGCCAGCCCGCCTGCACTCGAGCGAGGTAGGATTGATTTCCCCAAAGAGGGCCACTCAAGAGGTGGAGCCAAGTTAACTAGCTTGCATCCGTGTATCCATGTATCCACGTATCCCTTTTTTATATTTTTCTCCTCAAAAAAGACGGGCATGTCGCGATTGAACTACACGCCGAGCACGGACCTGGACTACGGCACCATTTCCTGTTGGGGCAAGAACTCCATTGGCATGCAGAAGAGTCCCTGCGTGTTCCAGATTGTGGCAGCCGGTAAGCACCCATCGTCGTTATCATCGCAGGAATTATCTTAGCTAATCGATCCGAACTCCGGAACTCCGTAACTCCATCCGCAGGTCGACCCTTTCCCTTGCAGAACTGCTCGGTGACCAATCAGTCGGTGGACTCGCTGCAGGTCGATTGCCTGGAGGGATTCGATGGTGGTCTTCCCCAAGGATTCATGCTGGAGCTGGTGGAGTTGAATACGCTGCGATTGGCCAGGAACATCACGGTTTCGGTAAGTTAGACAGCTAATTACCGGGCAGACCCATAAAGCATCTTTATCCTTGGGGTTTATAATCAATGGGGGTTAGATTAAATGGCCTAATGGCCTTTAAGTATGCCAGAAAGTATCCGATTAGGCGGGCAAAATATTCTTTGCATTCTTTTGGGCGCTTTGTGAATTTTTAATTTACGAGACTATGTTTAAGGGGGATGTTTCTGTAATTAATATATATTATTTTATATATTTAATGTTAAATATTTTCCCAATTATCAAGCACACACCGGTGACCTTTGTGATAGACAATCTGGATCAGGCGGCCACCTATCGCATGGTGATATTCGCCGTTAATGCCAAAGGTCGTTCCGAGCCCACCATAATCGACGACATCAACTTCAAGGGCGTGGCCAAGTTCACAGGTGGGTAACCCCCTTCGCTCACTAATTGGGAATTATGCAACAAATAATTTAATTGCGGCCTCGCAGGCGCCTCCACCGGGCTGTCGATGCCCCTCTCTCCGTTCCTGGCGGGCCTGACCCTTTTCTGCGGCCTGCTCTTCGCCATCTTCTGCATCATGATGGCGGCCATCTACCGGAGGTTCTCCAATCGGTACGGACAGCTCCCGCTCACGGCCTAATGGCTAATGGGTAATGGCTGCGGCTTCGTCCTAATGGCCCCATTTAAATTGCAGGCGCAGCGACAGCAACCTGAAGGTGGCCAAGCACACGCAGCTGACGATACCGGCGGACTGCCAGCTGGACCCGCTGCATCCCGGCGTCCAGACGGATGGCTCCGGCAACAACCATCAGCCGCACCACAGCCTCCTGCCCATCAATTGCGATGGCGCCGCACTGGGCGATGTGGGTGGTGGCGGTGTCGGTGTCGGTGTGGGAGGCAGTGGTGGTGGCCTCGGCATGGGACTGGATGGGGGCATGAAAGGCAATTCACCGATGGGTGGATTGGTAACCCTGCCAGGGGACACAATGCGCTCCACGGCTCGTACACGGCATAGTCCGATGGCCGACCAGGCCGAAATAGATGACACCGATCCGGATGTAATACCAAATCAGTATGGTGAGTATCAATGGGAGTCTTTAGGGGGAATATTTGAGGATATTGTTATGTCTAATAAATAAAATAATATATATTAAAGAGATTATGCTTGCAATTTTACTAAAAAAGATATAATTTCCTTCTTTATTTATCTTTAAAAGTATATCATTGTATCAGTCCGTAGCTTAAAACAAATTGAAGGAATCATTTCCGACCCCATAAATCATATATAATATTGATCAGCATTGACAGCTGAATCGATCTAGTTATGTCCGAAGGAAAAATAAATTTTTAAATTTCAAAATTTTATAAGGGGTTACATCATTAAAATTGTCAAAATTTGACAAAAAATTTAATTTTTTAAAACTTTATATTTGGTATGCAGATCTGTTAACCTAATAAAAACTAACATTTTAACGCTTGCTGATTTGAAATTAATGGATTTTTGGCTCAGTTATGAGATTTTTAAAATTGGATTTGTCGTAAAAATTGTCACATAAAAATATCGATTTAAGGAATTCAAATATTTTAAGCTTAATTACGATAGATTCGATTCAATAATTCGGTCTTCCAAAAATAGTTTTCTTTCTTATTTACTGACACATTTTGTTTTTATACCATTTGTAGATTTTAGTTTAAATGATGGTAAGAATAAAGAAATGTAACGCTTTAGTTACTTTCACTTATCTGAAGTTCTATAATATTCTGATGATTTGACATTTCCCAAATTAAATTTTCTTGTAGAAAAACGTCCGCTGAAAAGCCTGGTTTCCCCACCGGGCTTTGCCAGCCCCTCGAACCGCCTGATGCAGCGCGATTACCTGCGGGAAACGGAGCTGGCCAAAGGTGGTAGCGATGGTGGCCTGGGAGCGGCCGAAGGACTGTCCAGTATTGGACTGATGAGCAGCTCCGGGAACGAGGTGCTTCACTATACCTTCCGCCCCAGCAAGCAAATTGTGAGTACTAAACTAAAACCTCCAAATAGAACTGGGAAACTGTCGAAGAAATATATTTAATAGACAGTTGCCAGTTCTTTGCACAAGCTTCTGGTGAAGGTTAATTCATTCCCAATCTCATGGTGTTCATCTCTGGCGCTTTCCTCTTCCGCTTTCTTTTCAAAAAACACAAAATTACATCTAATACAGAGCTATGCTACACTGAACAAAAAGGGCATCACCACCTGCAGTCCGCCGCTGGGCTCGCTGAACTACAATGTGAGCACATCGACGCCCTCGTCCTCATACCACCTGACACCGCAGCCCATGGAGGTGAGTCTCCTGAGTCCGAACAATCCCTCGGTGACGTCGTCGCTCAGCGAATACCGATTCCGGACAGGGCCGGAGATCGTGACCACCTCGAACCGCATACAGGAAAGTTGTATATAAAGCAAGCAAATCCGAATCCAAATCCAAATCCCAACACCCATACTTACTTCTGAGTGTACAAAACCAAATGATATAGCGTGGCAAGTGTATTAATACATGAGTATCGTACCGCATCGTATCGAATAATATCCTAGCAGCTAGACGTACTTATTCGCATGGTTTGAGGAAAGACTTCTCCTAGCTCGTAAGCATCTTGTGTACTTATGCAATGCCAAAAGTGTAACTGCAATACACTCGTTTTGTAAATAATCGTTGTCATCTGTTGTTGTAATTAGGCCCTAAGCCCTAAGTCCTAAGCCCTAAGTCCTAAGCCCTAAGAGAGATATTCTGGCCGTGAACGAGAACAACTACTACTTGAGAACATATCGTTTACTGTTTCACCCACATACCATATCCTCCTTCCGTATCCGTATCCCTATCCCACACATATCCCCCGAGGGTATCCGATATATCAAATTGCTGTCAATCTTAACATATCGCCGACATCCTAACGCTCGCTAAGCTAACCCATGGTCATTGTTGTGCGCCAAAAAAACAAACAGCTAAAATAGCAACTGAGCCAGCCGATTGCAAACTTATTTACGCCATATTTAGTATACCAATAAACGTATATATATATCCATTTAATCTGAACAGGACCTGCACTCTTCCAGAGTTCCCGGCAGAGTTCTGCGGGAGTCGCATTTGTGAGAATATCATGTCCATATCCTCTATGAAAAGTATTACCTATTGATTTTCGTTTCGATTAACTCGAGTGTTTAAGTGTAGCTACCGCGTACGTGTATTTAACTAGCGCTAAGTAGTCCTAAGTATCGGTCTAAGCGAAGTGTACATACATGATTATACAGCAGGCCGAACTCTGGGAATCCCCCCAGTACCAGTTCCAAGTTGAGTCCCTATCCCAGTCCCGATTCCTATCCCTATAATTTGTAATTTGTAATTGTCTAACCGCTCCAACCCGATAACTGTAAACTGTACATAGTTCATAATTTATTGTGAGGACGAGAGTCGGGCCGTTCGAGTACGTGGTACGATGTGTTGCCCCCATCTAGAGTAAATTAAGCATTTATAGAACAATTGCTAGGCCGCAACACAGGTACAAAATCTTCGGAGCGATCCGAAGGGAGCGTGTTCCCTCCAGAGGCCAGGTCAGGCCAGGCATTTGGCATCGAGGCTATCCACACGTCACTACAATTTCCGAGTCCAGGTCCAGAATTGAGTCATGTCGAACCTTCCTGGAGCGGACACCTCTGCAGCTTGAGGATAGTATATATATATATATATGAATATATCTGGATAAAGTGTATCTATCTTAGAGAATTGCCGCCACTTAAACTGTCAAAGTGCAAGCGGGGACAGGAACAGAAACGCAAAGATTAGTATAATTTGTCAAGCCTAGTTTTTGTAACTATTAGGAGAAATATTAAATACAATTAAATTATAACTAAATGGAGATGAATTACACTTTCACTTTCACTGTTCTCACTGTCTGGCTGGGCATCTCGCCGCTTTAATAAGCACTTGGGCAGCAGGAGGTATTGCGGACACGAACCTAACTCCTGCGGCACTAGTACTTAGGAAAGCGAACTTGGCATTGATTTGGATCGACTTTAGATCTTCCGGAAGTCTAATGAGTAAGTATCGTATATCATATTCACCCTGGTTGTGTGTGCTCCTCGTTGACCTGCGACCCCGCCTGCCAGATCTGTGTGATCCCTCCTGATTCCTCGGTGTGCCGCTTCGCTGCAATGATAAATCAATTAAAGCGGGAAATGTACTCTCTCCAATTGACAGCTTGAAGATGCCTCCATCCGCTCGGGGCAAGGTTATTGTATTCCATTTAGTTTGTGAGTTATTAATATCTGAGTATATGTGTATGCGATAGCGATACTTAACCTTCTGTGGCAGCTGCTGTCTCCTTAAAATGCTATCCATCCCCCCTTCCAAAAAATATATCTATATAAATATTCCGTTTGCTGCCCGGAGCCCGGCCCATATGTAGATGTGTATCATTGCAAGTCGTGTACGGCTAGTAACCTCTTGCACATAATACATAAGTTTATTAAATTTAAATTGGCTTAATTGACCCTCATTCGTTTTCCGTTGCCCGTTGCCCGATGCCCGATGCCCGTTGCCCGTATTCGCCGACAGCGTTCAAAATTGCTCCATGACAGACGACAACATCGCTGATGATTCTGCCGTTTTGTTGGTGTTGCTAGTGTAGCTGTTGCTGTTGCTGCTGTTGTTGCTGCTGTTGCTGTTGCTGCTGTTGTTGCTGTTGCTGCTGCTGCTGTTGCTGTGTTTGTGTGCCTTCATTGCTGGAGCATTCAAAGTCAATTGAATTTAAACGAATAAAACTACACACAATGTGGCTGCTACACAGTCTTATTGTTGCCGCATCGCTCGATTATGATTGCTGCGGGGCAGAAGCGTCAAGTACTTGTCAAAAAAAGCAGAAAGCAGAAATGCTACGGCAGCTATAAGCTCTCGCATTCAGCAATTTGTCATCGCAAGATGCACAAACAAAGTACAATAAATAGCTGGCTGAATGCATTCATCAGCTAAATTAGAATATACATAGATTAATCAGAGCACAATAACACTTAGTTAAGTGAGTCCAGTTTAGCGGGAGTGACAAATGTCGTTGCTAAAAATCTGTTGCATTTCCTGATTTTTATTAACTACGTCTATTGTAGCTATAACTAATTTTGATTGGGCTTAATGAATGCCTCAGATAACGCTAGGCAGTGATTTGTATATAATATTATTTATGGGTATTTAATTTAACTTTTAAGTATGATATGTACTTCTATATTTAAAAACAAAATCATTTTGTTTGTATTCGGTACTTAATTAGTAAAGAGTAGGCATTTTATGAAGCTAAAGTAGTTTATAAAAGTTTTTCTTCATTTCTCACTGCTTTTAAATGTTTTTTTTTAACTGTTTAATTTGACTAAATATTGTATCTTTTTTATACCCATGCTGGGTAATATCGTTTTCATTCAGAAGCTTAAAACAATGTGAAGGAGTCATTTCCGACCCTATAAATTATATATATTTTTGATCAGCATCAATAGCTGAATCGATTTAGCTATGTCCGGAGGAAAAATACATTTTTGAAATTTTTTCAAAATTTGCAAATTTTATATCATCATTAAAATTGTTAAAATTTGTAATAAAATTGAATTTTTTAAAACTTGTAATTGAGTATGCAGATTTATTAACCTATAAAAAACTAACATAGGAACGCTTTCCGAATTGAAATTAACGATTTTTTGGCCGAGTTATGAGATTTTTAAACTTTGATTTGACGTAAAAACTGTCATATAAAAGCATCTATAAATATCATATACATTCAAAGAATACGAAACTTAGTCTTGATCGATTTCCAATTCTATCCTTTAATTCAATTACAAGCTTTAATCTTGTATATTGATCTATCTTTTTCTAGTCTTGTATCTCTAAATTGTTTACCTAATTTCTGCTAAGTTTTACCTTTGTGCCCTCGACTTTTATTAGTATTATTATATTTAATTGGAATAACTTATATTTAGTAATTTTTTTTTTTTTGCATTATCGCATACATACTCATGCATTCCTGAGAAAGAGAGGCAGCTACTAAGAGAGAGAGAGAGAGTGAAAGATAGAGAGAGTCACCGACATGCCGGTCAGAATCATCGCTTGTGCTTCTGTTGCTGCCGCAGATATTGCTGTTGCTGCTCGACGACGACGACGACGGGAATTATACTTCGTTGATTGCGATTATCGCGCCTGAGAAGGGTCTTAACCCCACTCAGAGAACTGACCAAACATATATAATTTTGTGCAAAAAAAACTATATATATATTTAAATATATATAGAGTTTATTATTAATAACTAATGTACGATTTTCAGAGGCTTGAGACAAAATGTGTGTGAAGCACCGATTTTTTTTTTTTTGAATTGAGATCACAGAGATTCCGGGAGATTCGAGAACCGAGCTCCGAGCTCCGAGACCGCGGAGAACATTGCCGCTCGAAGGCGATTCCACAACTGATTTGTGCAGTGATCGCGCGGACAGTCGTTGGATTTTTGAAAATAACCATCAATTCATTACTCCCGCTGTGTGTGTGAGATCGCCCCCATATGTGCGTGGCCGAGTGTTGGTGAGCATCAATTCCGCAACACACAAACGGCCGCATTTCCCCGCCCACTTTCCACATTTTCCACCCCTCTCGCTGCTCGCTGCAGTTGATTAGCGACTAAGCCGGCCCGCGCTGCCCATCTGAACTATCCCGCATATATAGTCGAGTTGAGGTCGGGAGTAGGCTCGGACAGGGGAGGGGAATTGAAATAGAAGTAGCAAACTCTCATCGAAATTACCGCCTCCCCATTCAAAGCGAGATTATTTTAGCTCACTCTCTGTTTTTCCATCTCGGACTTGGATTCAGATTCGGATCTTAAATCACACATCGCCGACGGCTTTTCACACAAACAGATTGTCCAGGCGCATAATAGATTAGGTAGCCCGGTCCTCTGTCTTTGGCTCTGCTCCCCCACTAATACGCTCGGTGGGATTATATCCATATGCCGGGGCAGATTCAATTTTTGTCCACTCCAGATTTCTGGCATTATGCACTTTTAGCGCTTAAGACGATGATGAACGAGTGTGGGCATGTGGGTGCCCTGTGCCCGGTGCCTGGTCCCTGCTCCCTGCTCCCTGCTCCCTATTGCCCTCCAGAGGTGGCAAATAAATTACCGACATTCTCACACTCAGTCTCTAGGGGGATGGAAAGCCATGGTTTATTTAATCTCAGAAGCACTTCACACATATTTCATTACATTTTAACGACGCTCAATTAAGTGTATTCACTTACAGTTGTAATGCGGTCATCCAAAACATCCCTCTGTATGTTGTTAGTTAAATAATTTACAAAGAATTCAAATGAGTAGTAGTAAAATAAGGAAAAGGTTATTTAAAATATACTTAAAGAGTAATGATCATTATTTATAGTTTAGCTTAAGCAATCCAAAGAAAGGGAAATACAAGGAAATAAGTAGATAAGTTGCCAAAAAGTATGCTACGATTTTGATGCATGAAGGACCCTCGTTAAGCGGTAAATAAAATGGTAATAAGAGAATGAAATTCTCAAAGCAGTTGCTAGGCTTAATAAATTAAATGAAACTCTTCGCTTGAAATATTAGTAATTACAAACAATTTCTCATTAAATGGATTCAAGGGAAAGTGATATATTGCTTCGGTTAATGAGCACTTTAACTCTTGCCCCTACCACAATATTAAATTACAATATTGATTCAATAATCATAAATGATGAATGTATGCTCTAGTTGAGCATCTAATTGATAACATATAAGTTACATTGAACTTGAAGAAATAACTTGATGCAATGCCATAAGCTTTTAAATTAAGAGAAATTATAGCAAGTAAACAACTAAGCATTTTATTTAAATTTCCCCCCTCATATTTGTTCTTGAAACTATTTACTTGCCCCACACTGTGGGTCTGGCCTAAGAATTAAGACTCGAATGAATGAAGAAACTAAACTTGTGATTGCAGATTGTGTTTACAAGTTCTCATGAGTACACACACAGATTCCGTCTTCTGTGTGTGTGCTCACTTAGTTGAGAGAGGAATTTCAATTAATTCAATTGAAGCCGAAGCTAAAGTAGGTATACGAGCTATATGTCGTCGTCCAATTTCTAGTGTGAATTTAAGATTCTTTTCATATATCCAAATAATGCCAGTGAGTATGTGTGCAGCTTCCTTATTACGGGGCCTACATCATCTAATAGGCCACGGACTACACATGGCATGTGGCGGGGGAGCACGTAATTCCCAATAAGCGATTGTAAAAGTCGAGAGCAGGACAAGTCAACTTAAATAGCTCTTATGGCCACCACCGCTGGGATCTGGGGATACGATGGGATCTGGCAGTAGTAAAACCCTAGCCTTGTTCCTGGCGGCCACAAACCAATAAAAAAAATTGTAAAGAAAGGGACGAGGGTGTAACCCTTTCCCGGTTTCCCGGCAGTAACTGTTGCGGGAAGAATGGCAACCCACTCAATAGGTACATCGATTTTCGCACACTTTGTTGGCACGGGGAGAGTGGAGAGCGGC